CCCCCCCCCCCTCTTCCATCCCTCCCTTTTCCTAGAACTCAGGATATATTTGTTTGATCACTTTCTAATATCCATGGATAACCATTAAACTCTGAACTAAATTGGAAGACGAGTTTTAGAATTAAGTTATAAAAAGTCCCATGAGCATGGCACACAGGAATTGTGTAGTGTCAGCAGACCCATTTCACTCAATTGGTAAGTAAATAAGTGTAAACCTGTTTGTTTTGTTACATCATCAAATACACTAAAATCTTGACATAAAGTCGTCTTCCTATTCCATTGTTTTCTGGTTTTCGCTATATTAAACGTACAGACTGGTTCGTGATTAATAAGGGTGCCGGGAGTGGGGGAAGGTGGAGAAGGTTTTTATATTTTTAGTTTTGATGCAGATATTCAAAATGTGCTGCAAAGCTTCATAGAATAAAATATTAATAATTTTCGAATCCATAAATTCAATGCATGTCTGGAAAACAATTTATATTATTTACGTCAAAACTTCAATTTTTATCCAATCATTTCTTCTTTCTTTAGATTTTTTTATTCAACAACTACCTAAAAATCTCTAAAAGAAGTAATAATTATGGATAACAAAATTAACTTTATTTGTTTCTGAAACTCAATTTTTAAGCATTAATAAATAATTGCCATCGGAATCCTTAAAGAACTTTCAAAACTCCCATTTTAAACTTTGCATAATACAAGAAGTTTGTTGTTTCCTCCTCCATGGAAAATAAACAAAAAAGCTTTTTTAAACCCACTTTTCGGAGATATGTTTATCGTTTATATTAACAAAAATTTCCACAAATTCAGAATGCAAAGAAATTGGGATAAGAAAGTTGTGAGTCAAAGGGGGATAACGTTTGACATCCGACAAAAATAATCAAAAGTTTTGAACAATGTTTTTATAATTTATTTTTATTATTTTTGTAGAACAAAATTGTACGAGGCATAGTTAATAATTTCAAATGTTTATATCTTTTTTCTCCATCTGCACGTCCGCAGTTTCTCTTTTTCTTGCCTCACTTTACCCGTCCAAAAAAATCAAAAGTAAAAAGTAAAAAAATTTACAAAAATTAGAGCTTATGCCGATTTGTTCAAACTAGAAAAAAAATCTCATGATAATTATCACTTTCACCTTAAATTAAACAATTTGTTAAAAAGAGTTTGTTGCAAGTGTTCATTCCTTATTTGTGGTAAAATGTATGTTTGCAGAAAGTTCTAAAATAAGTAAAAGATCTGAAATTAATTTCAAGCTTATTTTATGTAATCCTAAATGTCGTCATTGAATTCCAAATTATACTGGACACGATCTTTTAATCGCAGCATATTTCACAAGATTAGAAATTCCCCCCCATTCCCCTGAACATTCCTGGCACAATGGACTGGTATTTAGGAAGGGGCACATTATCACTTTTTTTAAGCAGTTCGTTAGACAGAAGGGAAAGGTAAAAACATGCAACATTACTGGTACAACTTTGTGACTTGACAGCTCATCTAGTTTTCATTTTAAGCTTAATTATAAGAAAAGTAAATTTATTTTGTTACATATTAGAAATTAAAAAAAAATTTTCTTAAATACTTAAAAGGTTGCTAAAAAGCACATAGAATGCTATCTTGACAATTATCCTACTGCTAGCTCAAAGGAGATGAAGGACCATCTTGAACATGGGATTCATGGACCTCTGATCCCAGATTTGAAGAAACAAATTTTACCACAGTAGTACATTTATGTAACCTGATACCAATAAACCGTTTTAGTCATGTTACCATCGTGGTTTAGCTTTTATAAGAATATACTCACAAGTCCTAAAAAACTTTGTGGTCATCCTTTAGATTGAAAACACATTGATTGTGAATAAGAGTTTATTTTCACAAAATACAGAAGTCTAGAATCAAAATACAGAAGTCTAGAATCAAAACACAGAAGTCTACAATCAAAATACAGAAGTCTACAATTAAAATACAGAAGTCTACAATCAAAATACAGAAGTCTACAAACAAAATACAGAAGTCTACAATCAAAATACAGAAGTCTACAATCAAAATACAGATGTCTACAATCAAAACACAGAAGTCTATACAATCAAAATACAGAAGTCTATAATCAAAATACAGAAGTCTACAATCAAAATACAGAAAGAAGTCTACAAACAAAATACAGAAGTCTACAATCAAAATACAGATGTCTACAATCAAAATACAGATGGTCTACAATCAAATACAGAAGTCTACAATCAAAATACAGAAATCTACAATCAAAATACAGATGTCTACAATCAAAATACAGAAGTCTACAATTAAAATACAGAAGTCTATAATAATCAAAATACAGAAGTCTATAATCAAAATACAGAAGTCAATCAAAATACAGAAGTCTACAATCAAAATACAGAAGTCTACAATCAAAATACAGAAGTCTGTACTATCAAAAACTTTTTTGCACATTACAAAAAACATTCGTTGTCTTTCATGTAAATTAAACCCTAAAAATTACCCAAATTCGCCGTTATTTTTATAAACATCATTTCGTTTTGTTTAATTTTAACTTTTTCTTTAGTAAACGGAATGTTGTCCAGCACTATTTGTATACCATTAGAGGGAATATATATTTATATATATAATATACGTACACTGTATACAACACTTATATAATAAATGAGAGCAATGATGAATATATGATTTATTATGCATGAAAGGTTGAATGCAACAGGGGGAACTTTTTTCTCGGAATTTTCGAGAAAAAAAATTATAAAATAATGTATTTAAATCATTTGAAACTATTTTTGTCGCGCCCCCCCCAGTCAGCTGCAAAATAAACGTTAAAGTGAAAGTATTATTGAAAAAAGTTCCCAAAAAGTGCCAAATAATTTTTTTGACCCTCATGACACGCAATTATTGGGGTGTCATGACTTGAAAAATCTTAGCAAGTTTCTTAGATATACTCGCAAAGCAGGAGACTCTAACGACGACCTTTAACTGTTTGGCCGTTCAATATGAAAATATTCTTTTACAAATGAACAAACTGTATTCAAATTACAAGTTCAGGAAAAGACTAACTAATTCCGAACAGTCTTCTCTGAATTCACATTCTTTGTGAAAAACCCTGTGTATATATGATATATATAATATATATTATGTACATATATATATATATATATATAAAAGTTTCTTTGACTATAAAATGTGTTTAAGTGTATTATTTATCGTAAGTGCTGTAAATATTGTATGAATTACCATTACAAGCAACTATTCTAATCCATATTATTGCAGTTTTATTTCTCTAGTGCAATATTCTACTTCATGTCTTGCAAAATATTGGAAATTCAGAATTCACATAAAATAGTAGAAACATACTAAAAGATTGGGTTTCTACATTTTAATATTAAATGGACTGTTATTTAAAAAGGGTCCGATTCATAAGGGTACAATTTAAACCTTTATCTTATCATAAATGTGGAAGATACACCGTTATACAGTGTTTAATTCTGTCAAATTCTTAATTGTCGATGTTGCAAGAAATCTCAATTTATTTTAATAATCAATAAAATTGTTGGCAAGTTTCTCTGTGCGATGTTTCTTTAAAGGACAATGTTGGGGGCGTTCTTAGGCTTTCCCACTGTATATATTCATCTATCTATCTATCTATCTATCTATCTATCTATCTATCTATGTTGAGCTGCTTTGTTGCGCTGACCAGCAGCTTGAGGATACTCAGTGAAGCCCTGACTGTTTACTTGCTTGCACTGGTGAGTCAAACACAAAAACATTTGAAACTATTTATCCAGGAATTGTTTTTAGTTTTGATGAAAATAGTTTTTTTATAGTTTTTCTACCGAAGCCAGATTTATTTGCCATTAATGGGTTTTCTATTGATATATTGTTCATAAATCTTCCTATTTAAGTGTTTTAATTGAGTAAATTCTAAAAAAACATTGGTTTTTATAGTTTTTGTCACAGCATTTAATTTATGTTTTTAAATAAACCTGGCTTTTGTAATGGTTAAGTTACAACCTAAAGAGAATTATTTGTACGTGTTTAAACAATGATTATGCACAACTATCATTGTAAATAATATTTTACGGAATTGTACGTGTTTAAACAATGATTATGCACAACTATCATTGTAAATAATATTTTACGGAATTGTACGTGTTTAAACAATGATTATGCACAACTATCATTGTAAATAATATTTTACGGAATTGTACGTGTTTAAACAATGATTATGCACAACTATCATTGTAAATAATATTTTGTTTTTTAGTTTGTTAAAACCTACTTTTTTTATTTATTAGTTTTTTAGTTTTTCTGAAAAAAGAGATAGGAGGAAGGAAAAGAAAGCGTTTGAATTTGAAAAAAAACATTAGAAACTATAAAAAAGAAAAGAAAGCATGGAGTTGGTAAAAAAAAGAAGGAATTATAACATTGATAATAAATATTAAGAAAGGAAAAGAAAAACTAATAAAAAAACAGGAAAGAAAGATGGAAGAAAAAAAAACTGAAAATGAATATGAAAAAAGGAGATGTAAAAAGATTTTAAAGGATAGAAGAGGGAAAAAGGAAAGGGGCAGGAATTAAAGGGGGAAAGGGAAGGGAAAGGGGACGGGGGAAGGAAAGGTGTATGATTCATAAAAGGCCTGCTTCCTTGCTTCTCTGTTTATATCCCCCAAGATATTTATGTTAAAAGCTTCTCTCCTTTAAACAAGAATATGAATAACATTTAAAGGGATTTTTAGCGAAAAATGAAAGGGGGTATAGGCTTATGGCGAAAAATAAGCGCTTTATTATCGCAACTAATCATATCTGTTGCGCCTATAAGGAGAAAATTGTTAAAAACGACTCATGCTGAAGAACATAGATTCCATACAAATTTAGAAAGTTGCAACATTCAACTCGGATCGTAAAACAATCAATTTAATTCCAAACAAATCATTCAGATATGACAACCAATAGTCATCGATTATTTTTTGACGCATTCATATATATAGTTAATATTTTTGATTTTGTTTTTTTAAAATAATATTTCGCTGGCGCTGGATTTTAGAACATTCCTGGAAAATATGAAAATGTCGTCCTCATTATCAAAAATCCTCGAAACAGGAATAAATGTTTTCAAAAGTAACTATATTATGAAATATTTTTTAACAATTTTCTCCTGATAGAAGTAAGATTAGTAGCGATCAAAAACGCTTATTTTTCGCCGTAAGCCTAAACCCCCTTTCATTTTTCGCGAACACTCCATTTAAAGGGACAAACATTATAAACATCAAATATGATCCTTTATAAAAAAGTGACCTGAGCGATGAGAAATGTTTTCTTTGACCTTTATACCATTTTATCAATGCGACGAAAATACCCAATATTTATCCCATAGACAAGTACGACAAACTAAAGTAAACTGCGTGCAAGATTGGAATCCTACATTTACTTTTATTCATAACTCTTCTAATTGAAAAGCTGGATAAATTCACTTCCCTCAAGCAAGTGCGTAAAGTCAAAACTGGAGGAGCTAAGAGGTCACAAAGTCCCACCTGTAATTTGGCATAAATTTGACCTGTCTGGTTCAATGTTTGCACGACAGAAAAAGATAATAAAGATTTCAACTTTACTACCGTTTATAAAAAAAAAACGTCTTTTATGATTTTTTAAATCTTTGCAAACACACGGATTAAAACATAAAAATACTCTGTTTTCCTTAATTAGGGTTATTACAAAATAATCAAGTAAAATCTATAATTATACAATTAATTGCAAATAATTCAATTAGTATCTATAATTATCCATGTAAGCTTATACTTTTGTAAATGTAACAACAATAGCTTGACATAAAAACAACAAAAGCAGAATAAATATAACTTTAAAATAATATGAACACTAATTAGAATAAGTTTCTTTAATTCATTTTCTAAATGAATTTGTTTATTCAAACACTGCAGAGCGGACATTTTTGAGCGCATTCCAGGGGTACTCTTAGGATATCCTGTAACCTTGGTTTAGCATTCTTATATTTTCACTTAGTTCTTACTTTAATATCCTCTCCCCTTCATACAGCTCTCTATTCTCTCTCCCCTCCACCTTCTTCTAGCCACACCCCCCCCCTCATA